GTGGGTGCCCAGGTTCAGAGAGGTGCCAGCCCAAGGCTTTCACCGTGACGATTTCCACCTTCTCCGCATTAACCGCAGACGTAACTAGGTATGGTTGTAATCATGGCCACGTAAAAACAACTTTTGCTCGCCATGACCTGGCATGGTGGTTATTATTGTGCCCAGCTCGGCTTTGGCCATACTAGCAAGATGAAAGAAAAGTCCCGCCGCATAGCATTCAATTGCTTCGATCTGCATATGTCAAACCCACAAGGTCAGTGCGCTACCATCTGAGACAGAAATTTTTGGGGAAGCCAGGCTGCTCAGAGGTTTGAGGATGTGTTGCTTTGTCGTTTTCTTGGCTTCTCGGGGATTATACAGTGTGTGCCTGCGTATGTGGGATGTTGGACATTCAATTGTTGGGTCTTGGTGTTTGCAGCGGCAATCTCTGCATGAGAAGCACGCATTAATGACAGCCCCTAAGTTCATTGGGCGCGAAGAAGGCGTGCCACGATAAATTTGAGACACTGCCATATCAGAGCTGGTCCCTTTGATTCTACAACTCCCTGCCAAGCCACGAAATCCCAGCCCAATCCTAGGCCTTGAATAAAACACTAAAGCCACAACCCCAAGCCGCCCATGGTACCCTGAAACCAGCACCCCATTGCTGCTAAGCACAGATCCGGTATGCCATGAGCCTAACTACTCAAAACATGATACCCAACTCCTAGTTGAGACAATGCCGTGCACCTGGTTTCCAACGAAGGAGCCATCCCGCATGATGGTGACAGAGTGGCAACCTCGTGTGGACAATTCTCAAAGAAGGCGTAGTTGTGGAGCCCCAGGCAAGGTCTGCTAGCACCCGAAATCACCCAAACATCCGCTTGCCATGCGCTACCCTGATATACCACCAGACATACTACTAGCAGAACTAGCTTGCTCCGGAGAATCGTGTGCTTTTTGAGTGTTTGGCGTCGAACAGCTAGGTTTTTGTTCGTGGGAGGGTGCTGCATGAAGAGTCCCAGAGCCTGGCAGTTACGTCCCTTCACCATCAAGGTGTGCAAATCCTTCCAAGCATCCAGGACCATATACACCCTCGAGGTGCTACTGCCTTCTTTAGCATGGACAGGACGGGCAAAAACGAGAGCCCTTGCAAAGCCATGCAAAGCCGTTCAGTTGCATATTGCTCCCAACTGCTAAGGTTGATTTTAGATTACCTGAGGAACCGATAGGAACAACACCAGCTCAAGCAGTAGTTCCTAAATATAATCTACAGCCCAAATACGGACGGACGACTCTCGGAAATCGCCATCCGCGATCCTTGTCATGTCTATAATCCCCGTCAAGTTTGCCGTCATCTGCGTTCCAAGAAGCCCGCCAAGGCCTTGAGAAACAGCTGGTTGGAATCGCTGCCTTGAGGCATCTTCCCAGACAACCAACTTGAGGCAGCGCGCATGCACTTAGATAGCTGGATATGTTGGAACCAGACCCCGAACTATTCAATGAGGGAGCCCTCTGCGCTCTGGTTTTCGTTAGAAGTGAGCAAGCAGTATCTCAACGTGTGAGTGGCAGGTCCATCGCTTTGGATCTCTAGTGGTAGACCACGGATCTAAACGTTCGAGATCTTAACAGAAGAAACGCTCGCGAAGGAACCCTCTCAGACTAGCAGTCCGCACCGCTGAAACCCACAAGTAAACAGACCCAACACCATCCTGAAATCTCACCAGCAGATTAAACCGACCGTACTCCAAGAGGAATCTGTGGCAGCCTGGCATCTTTGCCGGGGGGAGCACCTGAAATATGTTTGCCGTCCCATGTCATAACGCGGGAGGGAAGGGGGAGGAGACGGCCCGAAGCCCTGGCCTGTCAAACCCGCCAATAGGTCGCCGGCGACCACCTCGGAGGGGCGGAAAATGAGAGTACGTGCAGGTCTAAAGACTTTTTGCTCCTCGATTAGATTTTAAGTTATATGGGAGGCCCAGGGTGCACGGCTTGGACCTGAATAGATTTATGCGCATATGCAATGTAGAGCTTCCGGCTCATGGTCTGAGGCTTGCGGTTTGAGGTTTAGGGCTGCTGACTGAGGGCTTGTGGTCAAGTGGATACGCAACGGCAGCAAAATCTCAAACTGCGGGCCTAGACTCTCTCAAAAGCGGCTTTTGGAAGTTTCGGGTCGCCGTTGATGTTGCTGCGCTAGGATAGTTTCATTCTGCTCCAACTGAATTAGCCCAATGGCTGAATACGTGGCTTCAGGGTCTATCCAAGTCACTATCATTATTCTTACTACTACTAGTTTACTATTACTAGTATTACTGATACTGCCCTCCGTAGGCAGATACACATGAACATCGCATCACTCCCTTTAGCCTCAACCTCCCTGGGCTCATCACCTCCACTGAACCAAATCCTCATCCCTAAAGGTGGATCGTTCAAAGAACTCATGCGGCAGCAAATTTTGCATACCTCAGATCTAGTTTAATGTGAATTCCTTATTAAGTTTGAAAGTTGTAGCCACCTGTGCCTGGAATTCATTGCTCGCCTGAGTTTCAAAATCTTATAAGGTGCCAGCTCCGCCGGCTAGCTCCATCCCATAGCGTTTAGATGTGCCTCGTTCTGGATCTGTCCCTCCGAGATGGGTCGAACGGCCGCTAGGTCCATGCCTGCTGTGGGTCTGTCAGGTTCCTGCTCAGTTTACAGTGTAGGGCTTACAGCATCAAATTTTTGAGTCGGGGTTCAAGGATGGCAGCTGTTACGTTTGAGTACCTTGACTTCCGTCTCGAGTAAAGCAATACAAGAGGCGAGGGGGTTCACACATCAGTCGGTGAGAATATACATCTCTCGTGTAGATGCTGCTTCAGGGAAAATATACATCAACGGAAACATTATACTTGCGGAATACAGAACCCCAAGTAGACGCTGTGTCATGAATAAAGAGCCCAAAGAGTCTTCCTCAAGTAGACCTGGCCGATGTGAGATAGCCCTACTACTAGTACACAGGATAATTGATAGTCCCTGGCCAGAGATGTTGGTCAGGAAGCCTTGTACACATTGTAGGAGATGCCGCTCAACAGCTGTTACTGTAATTGTGTGCACCAATCACAATGCGAGCAGCGATCACAGGGCTGAAGCTCTATTGCCGTTGGAACCCTTGCGCTGGCAATCATGGTTGTTGTACCTTTACAGCCTGTAGCTGCATTCTCTGCGCTCTAGCGGTTTGAGCATCAACCCCCGGTTGCATTGCAGCTTTGGGCCCCACAGAGACTAGTTTTTTTCAACCTCCCCAGCCTAAGTCATAAACTGGGTTGCTAGTTTCGCTGAAGGTTCAGCTGCCCAGTTAAGTTTCCTGATGCTTTCAAGCATGTACACCAGTCTTTCGTGCGACTTTTGTTTGAACTACCTGAAGGGCAGCGTTCAACAAGAGCTGTACTTGAACAGGCCGTTGCTACAAAGGCATCCTTGCTTCAGTTTTGAGGGCTTAAGCTGAAGCCCTCAAGTTTGGGGGAGCAAGGGGCGGAAGGCTCTTTTCAAGACATTCTGCGCCAAGCCTAAGAGTGGTACTCAGCACGCAGGTTCCTTCGACCAATCTTTGGTGCACTCTGGATGGGGGGTTTCCTAACTTCAGCCTCTCCCAGCTTCTCCTGTATCTCCACAAAATCAGAGAGCCCATCTGTACTGCAGAAGTAAGAGGATTTATGCAAGGCAAGGTCGGCTCATATCACACAAAGCTTTTTGCTGAGCAATTGGGAAAACCCCCACAACTTGCACAGCTAGCCGGTGACACGAGAAGCACCTGATTCCCAGGTGTGCACATGCGCAGGATGTCATAGGGATCTACACCCCCCCAACTCACCCACTGTGCCCGAAGGAAGGCTTGAAGATTCAAGTAATTTCAAGTGATTGGGCTTGCCACTGTTCAACTGAGGCCTTGCTTCCTTGGGCAGGGGAGGCATGTTGGGAGGGGGGGAATTGGGTGCAGATCCCTGCGAGGATGGTAAGGTTGCACGCACACCAAGATGGTGAGCTGCGAGTGCCGTCCTCCTAGTTTGAGCATTTGAGTGAAATTCTCATTTAGGGTTACGGGCTTCTGTTTTAAGACGCATGGGGACCAGGTAGGAGTTGAGACAGCGCTATACTAGACAGCAGGCTGTTATCCTGATTCAGATGTCGCACTGCGAGACTGAGCTGGAGCCATGTATTAGCCTGAGTCATTGACGCTGCAAACTTCAGATGCAAGCCACACCCTTAAGCCAAACATGAAGGCAATCAAACAGGGCTGTTTCTCAAATCAAAATTCCTCTCTCTCACGCCAACAACTGCAGTGTCTGCTGTAATGATGACGAATAATGACCAACGAATGATTACTGGGAGCATCCACATGGTGGAATCCGATCATCCCTGCTTAACTAGTCGCGCTTCCCTATCGATCCTATCAGCCGCCCAAAATGCAGCCCTAAACCACAAATGTATCTGAACATACAAATCTCGAAAGCCTCTTAACCCCAAACCCTGGCCATGAGGATCCAGTAGCGTGAACAGTGACTTTTGACTGTCGGATGGTTTGGCCTCGGATTGGGCAGGTCGTCCATCAGCAGTGCATATTGTGGTTGCTGCATTGTCCACACCATTCCCTGCAAGACCCCTGTAAGCAACGCTCGCGCCGTACGGGCCCCAGACGCGACCCACAGCTACAAGTTTGGGTCACTGGCGGGGGGAAGATCGCTTGTAAGGGACCTACTATCCTCCACCCGAAATTAAGAGCCTCGTCTTGATAATGGCAGAGCATCCAAGCCTCGATAACGACAGAGCGAGAACATAGCGCTAGGCATCAGAATATTGTAGACTGCGGCTGTCAGGCCTGTCTTGGGATCCAACTCACATGACCCCAAACAGATGAACAAGGTTGCCTTCAAAACAGCCTGTGGAAAAACTTCATCAGCTCCTGCGACACTATTCCAATCCTCGTTCTGAATTCTGCTTACCACAGCTTTTACCATTGTTTCTAACCTTGCGAACGCTGGTCTTCAGCAATCGAAGTTCGGGCTAGCGGCCGAGAGCTCTTGCGAGGAATCGCCCCCGCGGGAAACCAGTGCCTCCGCTCTAGAGGTGTTCGCGGTTGACATATTCAAATGCGGAGTTACATTCAAAGTATGTAAGACTTAAAACGAGATGCAGAGGCACTTACCAATAGTTCTTCCAACTTCTACATCACAAGCTGTTGCTGTGTTGAGTTGTGAACACTCTGTACGGGTTGGCTCCTAAAGCGTTAACAGGCTTCAGGTTGGGTGTGCGCTCTGAAGCCCTAAACCTGTTAACCCCTTTGACTCTGAATGCTGCACTCCAAAGCATGTCTGGTTTCAATCACCTATTTGGTCCAACAGGTAAGCCCCTAAACCCTAAACCACTAAACCCCAAACCCCTTAATCTGCCAGGCACCTTGGGCTGGAAGAGCGTTGGCAGCCGCGTCTCAGAGTCCGACTGCGCAAGCGCCGGGTTTGGGCCTGGCCTTGGCCTGCCATTCTCCTCCAAAGCTTACAGGAGCCAGGGGAGAAGGGGCTTCTTTTGGGGTTATTTTAGGGTTATATTGAGGTTAATGTGGCACCCGCTTTAGTG